TATATATATATACAGGAGGGAACCCTCCTACATGCAGAATAGAGGCAAGATATATATCTTACACAGGAAAAGAGAGAGAAATAATCCTCTTTATAATAAAATAAAATAAAAAATAATAATTATATTAGGAAAAGAGGACAGATAAATGATTAAATATGAAGATAAAGAGGTATAAATTGTCTGAATAAAATTCATAAAAAAAAGACCACATGCAAAGGACTCTCTTCTTCTTCTCCTCTTATCATGGTTATTCTATCGTATGTAAATGTATGAAAAATAAAGCTATAATAAATCAATAAAATATATTTAAAAAGAAAATAACATAAAAAGAATGAAGAAAAATATATATTTGTTAGTTGCTACTCCCCTTTTATATCCTATTTCCTTGCCGAAAGCCACAGGGGCAGCAGCGGCAGCCCTTGCTTGCGCTGGAGTGTATATACAGGAAACAGCATTAGATGGTAAAAAAGAGAAGAAAAAGAGGGAAATTTTACGAATAAAATATTAATTAAATGATATAAAAAGTATTTATTAGTAATAATAATTACCCAAACTCCTGTTTAATAGGAGAAAATGGGCACTTTTTCTCTTCTTTCTTCCTGCATGCATTCACATAATGCTGTAGGTATTCGTCTTGGTTCCCGTCTTATAAATCCTTCAAATAATTACACCAAGCGTTTTTTCAGCACAGAGGGAGGAAGACTTCTTAATCCAAATCCTCGGCCTACACAATATCAGACAGTTATAGTCAATGAGGCAGTCAATCCACCACCAGGTAGAGAGGTCAGTCTTACTCCTTTTCTTGTCGGGGCTGGCGTCTTTATGGTCATCTTCCCATGTATACAGACCACCATGGAACTCCGCAACTATTACAAAAAGGTAAGAGGACTCACCGCATGCACGACGCATGCAGTCAATAATCAGTCCCATCCAGAGTCCATATATCTAGCTAGCTACAATATATTTCCGTATATTAATAAACATATTTACAATAAAATATTCACGGATTTTCCCACAAAAAAAGCAAAATAATCCAGTATAACCCCCTATCCCCTGACATTGTCTACATGGAGGTGGTATGATTCTTGTTTATTATTTTTTCTGCATTACTTATCCAAACAGTTATGAGTTTGTTATATATATGTATATCCAGGGCATTATAAATAGTAATAAAATATAATATTGACGGATTTATTTGCCCTTTTTTTCTTTATTTGCCTTTTTTTGTTTCTTTTTTTCTCTCTCTCTCTCTCTGTGCAGACAGAACACCTGTATAGAGATGGATGGAACCGTCATCACTACGACGACATGAAAAATGAATATTTATCTTAGATTGTTTATCCAACAGGCAGCGCTCTCTGCAGAGGCTCTCCCTTTTTTTGTTTATGGGGAGTTTTTTTGCGGATTCAGTTGCTTGTTAGCAGCTGGTTCACTCCCATGTGCATATATGAATTAAACAGAAACAAACTGCATTATATATATATATTATATATAT